ATGCCTATAACGCAGGTGTCCCTATATACTGTTCTTCTTCTTCCAATTTTATTGGCCTTTGCTTCCTTGATGGCGCATTTGGCCCTACTGTTAAAAACTTAAAATTTCACGTCGATAATTTTCAGATTTCAAAATGATGTAATATCTTCTCAATATTGATTCGTCCTTTCTTCTGTCACAGAAAAAAATTGTGTATTATACACGGGAAAAATATTAGATTTTAGCTCACGGACAACCTGGAGCTAAAATCTACTACTTTTTTCCCTTGTATAATAAATAACTATTAACGTTTATCCATGAGATATCATTGAGGAATATCATATATTTAGTTTAGAATAATGTAACTCAAACTTAAACATCATTAGTTTCATTCCTACATAATTATATAGAATCTATACACTTCCGTGTAAATAGTATACCAAAAAATTCTAATACTAATAAGACTAAATTATCAAATTACCTCAATATGCGTACAATATTTCTGAATATCCATTATTATATCAATAATATGCTGGCGGTGGTCCACTAGGCTTTGAACGAGATGGTCCAGAATATGGTGGAGGAGGTTCATATGGTCCAGGTATCGGAGGTGGCGGTGTAACATACTGTCCATGAGGGATTCGATACACTTGATGCTGTGTTGTGTACTGTATATTATATCCATAAGGTACTTGATACACCGCTGGTGGTCCTGGGGGAGGGTGGTAATGATGATTGTTTTTTGATACTTTCGAGAGCAAAATTCGTTCGGCAGCTCTGACAGAAGCTATCAATGATCGGTCCATAGCTTTGCCGATACTGCCAAAAACTGCTCCATTTGTCCATGGTCGTTCTGGGGGTCTACTCCCCATTCCATTCATATGGAACACACAATTCCAATTAGAAGCACTAAAATAACCTCTATATAGCGTTAATTTTTAGTAACTTTGTTCAATGGTACTATCTATTGTGCATGAGAACTCGCAATGTTATAAACAAAGTTATCTATTGTTATCGTGTTTTATCTATATTATGCTGCAATTACCTTTCCCATCCTCGCCTGACGTTTAGTTCGCCCAAGGTTTTCTATCAAATCGACTGATTTACCTCAGACTGCGAAAAAAATGTTGTATTTTGTCTTCCATTCGAGAATGTGTCTGTGAATTTTGAAATCATTCAGACGTATTTCATTATAATAATTCGTACTGTAAGCTTCCGGTAATGAAACAAAATTAGATGAGAACCTACCTATGTACTCTGACTCGCACATATCCTGTTATACCTAAATAGGTTCTACTTCAAGGAATATTGTGGTATGATTTTTCTTTTTATCATTATTTCATTTCATGCCTTCCGTTGGTATAGGTACAAGCCATATTGAATAATATTTCGAAACCTTAGTATTATGTATTATATTCATCTTAATGAATTCTCGTATGATATATCTATGAATTTCGTTTATTTCAATTCTTTAAGAATTCCTATATGTATCTCATCGAACAAATTCGCAGTTGATATAAAACAAATTCATAAGATTCGAATAATATTAAATACATCGATAGAGAACTAAAGAAACAGGATTTGCAAGGGCACGTCAAAATCATTTCCAACTGAATCAAAATAATGTTGAACTCATTAAAAAACCAGTTTCGAATAATTTAGTCAATTTTACAACTACCATGCATGCATTAGAAATCATCATGAAATCTAATGTTTTCAATTCATTTCATGGCCACCAAACAAGTTCTTTAGGTTCATTCCCAAACAGAGCTGGTTCTACCTCACATATTGAATATAGGTACCTACGTATAAAGTTTATGGTTCAAATATTTCAACTCATGAAATAATATAATGGGTAGTTACCTATAGGTATGTATATTACTTACGTGCCTGAACAAAAACTCATCTTTAATTTCGAAAAATAATAAAAATTCTGCGGGGACAGACTAGCCAGGAGGGCGTAGCACACTCGGGTACCCAAGGGGGGCTTTTGGGGTTCACGCCCCCTCAAGTCCCAATACAATGTCGACAAAAATTATGAGGGAAGACTTCTTTCCCAAGAACTAGGGTCTGGAATTCATTGCCTGAGGAAGTATTTCCAACAAGATACAATCTCCAGAATTTCAAAAAAGATTCCAATACCTACCTCCTGTCCCTATCCTCCCTAGCAACGCACGATGTTCTTTGAACATTATAATTTCCTTTCGTGCGCTCCAAGCGATGAAAAAAAACTTCTAATCTTCAAAAGTTCAAAACAAATTCCAATACCTATTTCCTCTCCCTATTCTCCCTAGATACGCGCGATGGTCTCCGAACATTAATAGGGATTCCCTCTCGTGCGCTCCAGAAGATAAAACAAAATACAGTTAGTTCTTATTGTTTGATAAAAGAGAGTAACATTTTGAAGTGGAGCAAATACTCATGCGAATACGTGTCAAAATATATCACAAAATAGGATAATTGTGTAAATTCCTATAGTTATTTAAACAAGTTGGTGTGACGGTGATGAGTACTCTGCAATTTTTGAAAACATAGAAAGCCAGCAATAAATGGCATGGAAAGCTAGAAAATTTGAAATCGAATTTCAGATCGAAACATCAATTGAGTAGTAGTTCATTCTCATCATTGAGACTATTGAAAAATAACACAAATGAAAAAATGATTGAATCCACTGTGACAGCAAGAAACAAACGCCAGCGACAGGAATACATTGATAACACATGTTTTTTTCTATGCTCTTCTATTCAATCTTACCTACCCATTTGATGTAAGTACACATACTTTGTACTCTCTATATTACTGTTTTGGTTGTATCAATTCGTATAATCATTATCTCAATAATTTGAATTTCATGTTGCTTTTTTGGTAACTGTAGTATCAAAATATTCAGTTGCCTGTACACTAATCACATTTTTCCTATAGTACGATGATGAGGAACTTTTGACGAACTAGTGCAGTAAAGAGGTATAGTTTACGGCACCAGTGTGGTAAAGTAACGAGTAGTTCGACGAGTTTCTTATCTCATATCGGATTTTGAATCTTTGCGAAAATTCGTAAATTTCTTCAACCTTCAGGAAGAAAGAAAAATAAAACATTGATCACCTTTTGAATTTTTCAACTCATTTCACCCTTGAAAATACATTGGAAGTGTTTCATCTCCATTTATTTTTCATCACAATTGAGGCATCATACCTCTGTCGAAAAACCTATCCTATATAAGTAACTTTGATTTGGAATATATTTGGATCTGGACCTTTATTAACTAAAATAATATTTCTAATGATCTTATCATTTTATTCTGTCTATTAATATCTGTCACCCCTTCATTATATTTACCTATAATGTTTCTTCTATTTATTCAAAGATGATCAAATATTAGTCTGAAGTCTGAATACCTTCCAAATCAAAGACCTTAAACTCTTGTTCAGTAAACAAATTCTTGAAACCGGCCCTGCTCCCAAATAAGATACATTCCATGCTCACCTACTAGATCCGAAATACATAGAAGAATAGTCCGGTGAAAGTATCTATAATATATATGATTTCAAATAACGCTTAAGGTATCACAGTTTCACCAGAATCTAGAATTTCATATCACAAAACGGTCTTGTCATAATTGAATCAGACATTCATATTGGTATAACCAGCAGAAGTTTCTTCAAATTAACAGTTCTGTTCCTGAGTTGGCGCATGGAGTCAGTAACAAAGACTATACAGATCACTTATGGACGTATTAAGTGCTGTTAAGTTAAGGTCATATGGCCAAAAACAAAGTACCTACCTGCAATTCTACTCTAGAAGTCGATTCTTTCATGCAGAATGATTTTTTATTTTGGGATATGATTTGAGGTAAAACCTCAACAGCCAAATTTCAGCTGATTCAGTGAGGTCGACAGAAAGCTTAACCAAAACAAATGGCTGAAAATGAATTGAAAGGATTTATTTTTTCACAGATTCAGAAGTTTGTGGCTGTAAAATGTTCGTTCTCGCTGGGCATTTTGCGAAATGGATAAAAAGAATAATCACGCCGAATTACATTCGTGCTGAATATTTTTTTAAAATTATTTTAACTAGGTAGATTAGCACTAATCTTTGTTGCTATACATACCATAGTAACAATGATACTTATGTGGGTTCCAGGGCATGAAGGAATCAAAGGAAATGAGGCAGCTGATCGCCTTGCGAAAAAAGGTGCAGCATCTGCACTTTTTGGTCCTGAGCCTTTTTGTGGGATAAGCAAATGTCACCTAAAGGGAGAACTCAAGAAATGGGAAGAAACAACGACAAGTGAAAAGGTTCATCAACCATTCGCAGAACCGAGCCAAAGAGCTACTCAGCCTCAGCAAACCAGAGCTAAAGCTTCTCACAGGACACGGCCCTCTGAGGTACCACCTCTAAAAGATGGGCCTGGCGGAGACTGACACTTGCCGCTTTTGTAACAATGCGACCGAAACCGCGAAACACATACTTTGCTCATGTGAAGTATTAGTCCGCCAAAGGCTGACCCACCTAGAACAGGTCTATCTCACCCCTGATGAAGTGGAAAATTCAACCGTCAGGAAAATTGCAGGCTTCATCAGAAGTCTAGGGTTAGAGGACCAAAACTAGATAGGTAAATAGATTTTCTAGGTCGCAGTGATCGAGAGGTCTCCCAGCCTATGCGACCCATCTACAATCTACATCTCTACATAGTAACAATATTGACTATTTCTTGTTCCGCTGATCATCTACCTAGGAAATTCAGAGAAAAATTCACACTCTGACCATGTCCAGGAGTGGGAGGGTCAGAACCCCCCCATGATTCCCTCCTAGAGCCGCGCTAGGAATTTGGTTTATTTCATCGACGACATATTTCTTCTTGATTAAACATTGCCTGAACTAAAGCAGCGTCTAGAACGAACGGTTCCCACTATCAATAATTTTTGTAATATTATTGCGTATAAATTATTGCTTCATTCTTTGATCCGAAGAGGAAAGGTCTCACCACGTCTCACTCAGTGGCAGACCGTCGGCCAGCAAAAATGCTAGTCGTGTCGTTGATCGCCTTCTGTTTTTTCCAAAGTGTTTTCGCCGATGGCTTGCTGAATGTTCAGATAAGTGATGGACTGCTCAGTGGAATCGTTCTGAGAACGAGGAATGACAGGAAGTTCAGTGCCTTCAAGGGAATCCCCTACGCGCAACCACCTGTTGGTCCGCTCAGATTCCAGGTAGGTCGAAAAATAGCTATTTGTGTAACAAGGGAAGAAAGTGGATAAAATTGCACAATGGGTTTTTTTCGAAATTTTTTTTGTACCGTCTTCTGGTATGATTGTTCACTAAATATGAAAAACGTGTTGAATTTTCTATATGAAAATGTGTCATTGAAGTACATCTTGAGTATATAAAGTGTCCAATGACAAAATAAGAAGAGCAAGTTGCTGTAAATGCATCCGAGAAAGGGAAAAAGAAGGCGAAATTTCGAATTTGTTCTCGAAATATCTCTACAAATAGTGGTTTGTTCACATTTTCATAATCAAATTCGTGTTTCTCAGACAAAAATACGTCAGTACCAAAAATCATTTTCGAAAAAAAAAACCATCGCATGATAAGTGCAATTTTACCGAAACGTGCAACTTTCATTCCCGAGGATGAAGCGGAGGACAATAATCATTCAGGGAAGGCAAAGGCACTTCACACCCATGTTATACGTATGATTTTTTACCTCATATAAATAACAAGTCATTTAAAAATATATTTATGAAACTAACAAACATAATTTATCAAAGAACTAAAACCAAGAACTAGGTACGGTATAACTTATTGGCACGTTATTTTCATTTTTGCATCCTACATATTTTTAATTTTTGGTAGAGTAATTCAATTGGAACAGATGCAGGGTGATCAGGATTCTGTATCTTGAACCACCCTGTATTTGTTCCAATTGAATGTCAGTAGATAGTAAATCAAAAGATAAATAAGGAACATGTAAGCCGTTTTGACCTATAATGAATATATTAGGCACAAGAAAATCCTAAATTTGAAAAATCTCGATTTTGAACACCCTGATGTGATGTATCGAGGGAATCAGCTCTTCAGGGAGAATCTGAAAATGAAATGATATACAGGGTTTTCCATTTAAAAAATAGCAACTTTGATACATTCAGTATTTTTGGCACACCCTGTACAACATGAAAATATCTTCACAATGTAGTGCTGAGAGGTGCCTCCCTAGGGAGGAAAAGCACGACCTTGCTCCCTTGAATGAGTCTAGGAGACGTATACTTTGGATAGAGGTAGGCGGAAAAAATATTTTCCTACTCAATATTTGAGATTTTTCATTAGTAATGGTGTTCAAGATGACATAACATTCATTAATATTCTGACATTATAGGTGCTTCTGCTTCTTGAACTATGGTGATTGGAATGTTGAATTCTTAATCCTTTTTTATCACAATGTTTAATCAGGATAATAATATACAGTACCTTGAATCGATATGATCAAATACAGTGACCTTCTATTCAAAATCTGACTGCTATTTTCAAAAACGTCTGAAAGGCCATTCAAATTCATTAACATATTCATTCTTTTTGCATTTTTGTTTTGCAAGTACTTACTTAATCCATTTCGCAGTGGTCGAACGTTTCGTGGGTATTGAATAGTAAGAGGTGTTTACGTTGGGTCAGGCTCGCAACAGATGGCGGTCATGAATGCCATTTGGGGAAAACCGGTCTGTAGGTAGTCAAGCGTTCCCGAACAATTTGAGCACAACTCGGCGTTTTCGGAATTTTCACCCTTTCAACATTGATGAAATAAACCTCTATTTCATCAATCTTTCAACTATTTAAAGAAGGCATTGACAATATGAATATTTCAGATTTGTCCACATTTTCGAATAGAGCTCGTTGAGTATTATATTATGAATTATTGCTTCTGAATATCGGTGCATTGGTTCCATATTAGGAGAGTGTTGCGGGTAGAAATCGCACACACTGTATGTCCGAAAATGATTTGTTTCCGAGATACAGGGTGATAAAGTTTCTTCAAAAAATCTAACTTTTATTTTAATGAATTGACATTGGTAGATACGTTAGTTCTTGTTTCGCCATGGTTACATGATTGATTTCGTAAACGGGCAACCAGATTCTGATTATTACAGTTTTTCTCTCATCGGGTTTGGTTTTTGTTTGTTACTCCTAAGATACAAAAAAACTAAAGAGCCAAAGAAGATGTATTTGAGTTGCTTCAATCATGAAAATTTTATGCAAAAAAGTATTGTATCTATTTGCCCCTGATAATAGTTTATTAACTGTATAAGGTCCAAAAAATACCTCATTGTGATTTCAATAGACATTGGGAATTGGAAATAAATCGTTTTCATATGTTTATATGAACTTTTTTTCTTACTTTGACCCAAAAAAATATGACCTCGAAGTTTTGTGCAATTGAATGAAACACCCTGTATACTCATGACGGTTACCAGAAACAAAAAAGACAATAAAATTTGGAATATTACTGTTTTGGTTTTCGTATATTTAATACTGACCATAGTTTGAAATTTTCATTATTGACAACCTTCATTCACTGTTAAGATTATTAGGTTATCACGAGTTGCAAATCGCAATCGAGTGGTTCGAATTTAACTTCAACAATAAATAGCAGATGTGGTAGGTAGTTTTTCCATTGGTATTCCATATCTTATCTCTTATCACTTTATACCCGCATGTTTGATTTCTATGGAACCGAATTTACCCGGAGAATCAACAGAGTAAAGGTCAACTGATATTGAGTTTTAAGAAAGAGCTAATCTCAACCCAATAAAGTTCAGTAATCTCATATCTGAAATAGGTAGTTTTGAGAACGAAGAGTCGTATACTTATTTCACTATAATATTGCTCTCGAGTCTAGAACACCCAATATACATACACCCGGTGTTTCTCAAATGTATGGCTCATCTATGAAATTTTGAAATTTGCTTGAATGGCAGACAATAAACGATCATCATCATCATTATGGAGTCTTGTTTTCATAGACTACCTATTTTTTTTCTAGCCTCCAGTACCGATAAACCCATGGCCAGGAACTCTCAACGCAACTAATGACCATGAATCATGTCCACAAAAGGACGTCTACAGAAGGTCAGATGTCTTCGAGGGACAGGAAGACTGTTTATATTTGAACGTTTACAGTCCCAAGGTATGTAGGTAACTATTTCAATGATTTTGGATCACGGGATATTTTATGGAATATGATGCTTAGTTTTAACGTTCCGCACCTCACAGGAAACACAGAAGCGTAAGATCACTCGTGTCTCCGCTGTTTTTTTATCTTTTGGAGCATACACATTGATTCTCATCATTCTCAGTTATCTAACCATGCCCACCTCCTGCAGGTTCCCACCATGCCCACTTCTATAAATCGCACTACGCCCAATCTTTACGGTTAATTCTAACCATGCTAATCTTGCGCAGAATCTCACCATCATAGATAGCCATGTCCAGTTTCCACAGATTCTCACTAGACCCATCTTCCTCGGACTCTCATTATGCCTAATTCCGATAGATTCTTACAATGTCCACTTACCATAGATTCTTATCAATAGAATAGAATAGAATAGAATAGAATAGAATAGAATAGAATAGAATAGAATAGAATAGAATAGAATAGAATAGAATAGAATAGAATAGAATAGAATAGAATAGAATAGAATAGAATAGAATAGAATAGAATAGAATAGAATAGAATAGAATAGAATAGAATAGAATAGAATAGAATAGAATAGAATAGAATAGAATAGAATAGAATAGAATAGAATAGAATAGAATAGAATAGAATAGAATTTTATTTGACCAAGTTACAATTCTTATGTTTTTGGCAAGTCACTGGAAGTACAAAATGTTTTTCAAAAACAATTACTAAGCTATCACAAACATACATACAACATTCTCACGAATCTAACAAATCTAAAATATAAATTTTGTTGTTTTCGAAATGAAATCAACACAAATTATCGAGAAGTGGAGGTGTTTTCAGATATTCATCAATAGAGGAAAAACAATGGGACAGCATGTGTCTTTTCAGTTTCAATTTGAAGCAGTTATAATTGAGAATCTTGAACTCTTGAGGCAGGAAATTATAGATTCCGATATTCAATGAATTCATTTGGAATTTGTTGAGCCTATATCGGGGAGGCCTCAAGTCGTTTGCCCCACGAGTTTGGTACTCATGAAAATCGGAGTTGGCACACAAAGTTCTTTTATTCTTGTGAATTTCCAGAAGAGTAGAGTAGATATATCAATCTAACCAAATGGTATTTGCACGTTGAAAAAATTCAAGTAGTCGGTTTCTTTGCGGTTCCATGTGTTTTTGGGGGTGCTGGATCTTGAGCTTTCACAGAACTCAAGCTCTTTGAGTTATGTGGGAGCGTTCCGAGATATTCGCAAAAAACAGCGAAATTTTCGGACTTTTTTCAATTTTTCGCCCGTAACTCGAAAACAATACATTATAACGAAAAGACACTCTATGAATATTTGAAGTAGATGACATTTTCTATATACAAGCTGTCCCATAAAAAAGTACCTTGAATTCTACAGGGTGAACAAGAGACCAAAATAGAACGATTGGAATCAACTTACCTCCATATGGAAATGTTCGTGAGAGGTCAATGAAGAATAATTTTATTTTTAGATTTTCTTCAATATTCCAAACTCCTTGAATAGTACTGCTTTGAAATTCGTAGGACAATTTACTATAGTGAATGTGCATGGAAAACATGTCGTATCATTTCAATCAATATACAGAGAGTTAGTTATTTCGCATTCTCTTTGATCAAAATTGATGTAACTTTTTTGGAGTAGGTACTGGGAGAAAAATTCACCATGTTTTGCAACATACTCTAGAGCTTATGACCATTGTATCTTTTTTGTGTTAGAAGCATTGGCGGTTCAAATGGGCGGCTCAAAACTGTACTGTTTCTAGTGGCGTAGAATTTGGGGAGAAAAACACTCACTACCCCTTCAAAAATAAATAAATTCCATACAAAACATAGCTTATTATGAGTAGAAAATGCTTGCAAAAGCAGTTTTTTGTGCGATAAACGGTTTCAGAGATATTCGCAAACACTTTTTTTATCAAATTTCAACAATATCTCGAAAATAGTGCATCTTAAAGGGTAAGTTGATTGACACTTTCTCTCTTATTTTTTGACGAGCTATTACAACCAGATGTCCTGCGCATATATTATGAAACACCCTGTATATACCCACATCTCAATCACTTCCAACACAACACTGCAGCAAAACTCGTTCGTCTATGCAAAGCTTTGTAATCCTTTTCCAATGGAAGCATGCCCAAGAACTTATATATAACCTCCAAAAGTTAAAAAATATTGAATTCCACACCTATACTCTCTCTATCCTCTTTCCTGTGCTCCAAGACATAAAAAAACAATGCGATATTTCCAAGTTTAATCACCATTTCACTTTCATGGATCCTCACTATATTCATTTTTGCTATTATATCATGATATATATCCACTTTACATGTATTCTCGTCCAAACCACATCAAGGAATCATACCCCATGCTCACTTCTAGAATCATAATATAAACTCATTGGCAAAAAACCGTCCATCCTCAAATGTGTTATTGAACTTTGAAGTTTTCACAAAAAAAATTTCTGTTAGTATTACTGTTATATTATCGCATTGAATTTGTTTGTGTTTGATTGATTTCATTTGTCAATTTGTACACCCTCATACCGACAATAAGTAGCTCTTCAAACTGTTGAAAAAACGACTTTTCATGGATGTTATTTTTCTGCCGATGAGTGTTTGTATAGAAAAAACTACCTATATCTATGGATGTTGTACTTGTAATCATTTGCAAAATAGTTTTGAGATCCTTTGCTGATTCACTTTCATTAGGAAACTAAATTATTCCCGATTTTCAAACGTGATAGTTCAATGGTCCTACTTCCGCGAAATATATCAGAAACTCCATATCCATCTTGGCAATTGAATGAACACCCCTCGAAACCCTAAGAAATCACTCAAACTACCCTCGATTGACACAAATGACATGACGAATGTTCCGCAGCTATCTGATTTCGAGAAGGACCCTCTCCCGGTAATGATATTCTTCCACGGGGGCGGCTACTTGTGCGGGGGTGGCAATTCCCACTGGTACGGCCCTGACTTGCTCCTTGACAGAGATGTAGTTCTCGTCGTTCCCAATTACAGATTAGGTAAGAATCCATGATAAATGATGAATAATTTATCAAGTCGTGATGACATTAAAAAATACGGGAAAACATCCTAATCCCTAGATTGGAAGTTAGACTTAGTCATCTTATAACGAAATGATATATCGCTGCTTCTCCAGAATAGTGACATATTTCAAAAAACAACTTTTTTCAGGAGAGAGTAACTTCGTATTCTCAAAATCCGACATCCGAAAATGTGGCGATTCCACTGGCTCATCGGGGCACAGGAACCCTGTTTAGAAAATATGTTATAACACAAAAATAGTATATTGTTCAACGACCACGGAATGATAGTGATTTCCTACGAGATTGAAGTTTGCAGCATGAGCCAAAGGCGAATGCTGCAATCATTCGAGTAGGAAATTAGCATTCCGTGCAAGTTATACACTATAATTTTTCTACGGCTATAATAGATAACAACGGCATTTTCGACTTCTTCGTCTTGTAGCCATCTGATTTCCTGTCAAGTAATGCTCATCTATTAGACAGAGCTATCATTGCTTCACATTTGACATTCCATGAGCGAGATTTCTTTGAAATAATACACAATGGAGTCATTAAAGAAGCAAGCTGGAATGTGAATCGATAAATATTTCCAGGAAAAATAGTATCACGAGTTGTATTCGTATGAGTATGCCATGATTGAGACAATAAACGAGCGGCTTGCGAGAGTTGCGCACACTGCATCCATCATTCTGGCTTCCAACATAATTGACGTTTTAAACGTCCAAAATTTTATCGCTGAAACACGAGGAAGGTTGGTCGCGTGTGGGTCAATTCAGCTTCTGTATTGGTAGAGCAAGTCCAATAAAATTCAGTACACAAAAAATATCGCTGCAATACAGAAAAAACCGTGAAAATGGCCGATTCTGATTGATTCTAGAGACCATGAGTGGAATAGTCACTAAAAATTGGTACCTGTGTAATTCAGACCATCGATACGAATACATTTCCTGAAGTCTACGAATATGTATCACATATATGGTGAAATGTGCATTTCAAAATATCACGACCATAACTAACAGATTAAAAATACATGAAGTAAAAAATGTCCTATCTCTAAGTTAATGGAGGAGGTGAAATACCTCCATTCGGCAATAGTCTCGAGCCCTTTGGGCTCTCGTGTCTATTGCCTGGCAACAAGTGCTCGAAAATCTGTCGAAATATTCTCAATTTATTCTCACTCTCTTGTGATATTACTAGTGAATATTCTTTGACATTTCTGACACCCAATTAAAACTCAAGAAGGTACCTGATAAGAATTTCGATATACTTCGCAATATCAAGATAATTGGTTGTTTCTTCATCTTCAATTGTATGATTCTCCATCTGAAGTTGAAAAAGATGAATTGCTAGAAATTGTTCACCTGTTTCAAATGAAATCATGGTAGAGTCATGCCTATTTCATTAACTACCATTTGCCACAATGATTTTTGCGCATTGGCAGCACTTTACTATAGCATATAACATATTATAGCCTCTTGAAAGCAGGTCCACACATGGAGTTTTCTTCAATTATCTTTGTTACCATATAAATATTAATCATATCATTTTCATCGTACCATGAAACGATTTGTCAAATCAAATCACCCTTAGGGACCTAATGTTGTGATTCTAGGATCGATGGTAACAAAGATATTCATTGTAGAAAACAGCATTTATGGACCCAGGACCCACCATCAAAGGGCCGTAGTGCCTTTATAAGACACATTTTTTATCTGCAGGATTACCACCAGAGTATACGAACGTTATTCTAAGACACTCAAATCTTTGACACTCTTTGAAGCAAACCAAAGCCTGCACCAAAGTTCAAAGAACGAAAACTGCTGTTCAATATATCGAATCAAATGTGATTTTTTCTGAGTGGACTTAACCAACACTAATCTGTTTTCTCCCGTCATAGGTGCCCTGGGATTCTTGAGTACTGGTGACGAAGTCGCACCTGGAAACAACGGCATGAAAGACCAGGTTCTGGTCCTGAAATGGGTGCAGAAGAATATCGCCAAATTTGGCGGTAACCCAAACAGCGTCACACTTTTTGGCGAATCCGCCGGTGGTTCCAGCGTACATTATCACATGATGTCGCCGCTCAGTAGAGGTGAGTCCTTTATCACATGTGTTTGTTTTTGCATCATGATCTTATACAGGGTGATTCTCAACTCCTCATTGGATTAGAAACTTATAGTATGTTGTTATCGTGATGATGTTAAAAATATATTCATACAGCAAAAAATACTCACTTTACCTTGTGTTTACATTTTGGAATGTCTAACATTTGTAAAAAATAAGCCTGATAGATTTACGTTGCATAAAGAAAATCATGATTACAATACTAGATATAGAAATCATATTTATCCAAACTTATTACGCCTGAACAGATCAAAGACTGGAACCTCTTACTACGGTTTTTTTACCTACAATAACTTGAAAGTGGATATTACAGACATGAGTATACCTCGTTTCAGATCTGTAATAAAATCATTCTTACTGAGGAATGCTTTTCAAAATATTCAAGATAAAGTGCTCAAAGAAACAAGTGAACCACTGAAATATTTGACAATTTTCAAACTGCCATATCTTTTCAGAAAATGAATGGATTTTCAATCGGTATGCAGTGCTTGGAAGGTGCGATCTCTTTGTTAATGATTCCTCGTTCAAAACTCGTCGGGAGTTTTTCTGTCATTATATACCAGGTGTTCGAAAACAGTATTACAAAAATGAGAGAATTCAAACGCTTCCGTATTCTAGGGAATTTATTTTATTTTTCTATTAATCATTTTTTTCGAACGTTCAAGCCAATATCTCGAAACTTTTTTGTAATTTTCCATATTCCTCATACAGGATATTGAAAATCGATAATTCTTCATTTTCAGGTTTTTATCGCAACTTTTCCGATTTAAAATTTATGCAAGCCACATTCAAAGCATTTTGCCACTCTATACGATGGAACACATCCTAGAAAAAGGATTCATATTGCGTTGAAATCATCGACAACTTCAACAAGAGAAAAAATATTTTTCTTGGAGAAATGTTCAGAATTTGGTGAAATCGTCTGTTCAGTTTGATGCTGATATAACCATATGCTATGCTAAACACAAATCCTTCATTTGGATCGATTGCTCAGCTCAATATCTCGAATTGATTTCGTGATTTTTCAGATAAGGCAATCCAAGGAGGCCCTTCTGGATTTTTCTGACCAATTCATACAATAACGATGCTACAATGGTTTTGAGATATTCCTGAGCTGACATGAAGTCAAGAAACCTCTTTATCACTAGGTTTTTCATCGCGTAATCGAAAATCAATCGAAAAAGTCGATTTCCTGTAATCAACACGCAATTAATACCACTGCAACACCCAATATAATGCTCCCTGTCGAACCGATGATGACAGTTGTGAAAGGTTCTCGAAAACGGAGCATTTTTTGGACCCATGTTTATATAAACTTCTTTTCATATTTTGTTGAGAGGAATCTCCCTTGGCTTTTGTCACCACTACTCTGAAACACCCTGTATTTCATCCTACAGGAGAAAAATATCTTTCACTATAGGTGGAAGTAAACAGGGTGTTCCATTTAAAAAAACTGATTTGGACTCTTTTTTCCATTTTCCGATTCGCATTTGTTCATTTAGGGAGTGCCAAAAGACTGTACTATCTTACTATTAGAGTCACTGGATGGTGTATAGATGAAAACCTACAACTTTTATGTTTGAAGATTTTTTCCACCTCGTTTGGTGAAGCTGTAGGTAGTGGTCAAATTATACATTGATTTATCGAAAACAGTAAAACAGGAGCAATTTTGTGTTATGTTATAGCCATGGAAGAATACTACTATTACATCACATTATTTATAAAAATGAACGCAAATGTGTTTTGAATGAAATAAGATAATTTCAATGTTGAAATTCTACTCAGCAAATTCAAAAATACTACATTCTTTCAGGTCTTTTCCACGCTGGTATCATGCAGAGTGGTACTGCCCTGTGCCCGTGGGCTTTCGATCAGAACAGCGTGGGCCACACTTACTCCAGACAGCTAGCCGAATCTCTGAATTGTCCAACGAAATCATCCGCTGATATGCTGGAGTGCCTCAGAAAATTCGACCCCAAAACCATCGTCGATAAGTCGGATATTTTCAAGGTAAACTCAAAACTCATAAATGAAGCTCCTTTCATTCCACGTTACATCCTCTGTTTTGTTCTTCTTCGGCTATTTGTGTTTGAAATCTATCTATCACTGGGAATATGACCAGATGAACCTTCCACATCGATCACGAAGCAAATAAAAAGTACTGCACTATTACTATTATGACTCGATTGAAAACAAATCATGAATGTTTTCCATATAATTTGAATAAAATAGGGGTGATAGATTCTCCCTTATGTAACCTAGATAACGGAATTGCGGATCTAAATCGTATGATTTTTAGCTGCAGCAAATTCCCTAGAAATGATCTCTTTGAAGGTCTTGTGACGTTCGGGGCTCAGCTACCGACATCAGTAAACGTATTGCTTACTACAGGGGACAAAAACATTTTTGACCTATTGGTCAAATTCATAACGAAAAAACAATATCGAGATATAAACGAAAAATTCAAATTGTGTGTATAGCTGAAGGACTAATGTCCATGGCCATTAAGGTAGGAGAAAAAAAACCTTCCACAAGTCCAAAACTGGTTTATTTATATTGAATACTGTAGCATCAAGAAGAATTCATATTCAATAATCTGTAGATTACACTTGGATTTGAATTTATTCAGTTCAGTATCTGTTAGAGGGGTTCGTCTTCTCCTTTGTTCTCTTCGAGGTTCGAATAGCCTTTATAGATGAGTTGTTCTCATTGGTTGTTGAAAAATATGTCTCTATTAGTCATGAATTATTGATGAATATTGAAAATAGTGTTCTTTCATATAACAAATAACAAATTATTGCATCAAATTCTCTTTATACATAGAGAAATCAATGATATACGAGGTGGTAATGAAATAAGTACATATTTTCAGATCATCGATATGATAGTCAACGAATATTTCCATGATATCAAATTTCTTCCAATTCTTCTAATTAACGAGACATCTTTTCCCAAGAATTGAACAAAAGTCGAGACAAAAAAAGCAAGTAAGCCACTTTAAAACAATTTAACTGATTGAACTCGGCGTGATTGTGCCTTCCCCATGAAAATTTGAACAGAGGTGACGTCAGAATTGCTATAGTGTAGAACTTGGATGGATGGAAAAAGGGGTCGAACCCCAAATCTCATACGTCGAGCTTTCTCAGGGTATGAAATTTTGTACATGTATAAAACTTTTCATGCCCGATTTGGAAATATTAGTAATTTTCTGAAATTTTGATCAGGAGCGTGGGAAATAGGTGGGGCTAGGGGCATTTCTTCCCCCAACTTTTTTTTAATGCAATATTTGACAGTTTGATCAGGAAATATGAACATATCATAATTTTTATTTCAAAATAATACTCCTGTTCAGTTTCGATAACACCATTTTGGAGATAAATCGGTTTCAAGAGTCTGCTGCGTAACAAAAATAGTTCTTGTTTCTTATAATAGGGTAGCAAATTTTCCCAAAAATTATTTTTCGATAGAAAATACCCTCTTGTCAACATCTACCTGTGATGTTTGACTCAAAATATGAGAGGAACAATAAAAATAATAATAATAAAGAAAAAGTACAATTTTTATTACGCAGCAGACTTTCAGAATCGATTTATTTTCGCAACAGAGACATGCATGACAAAAGTTGCAAAAAACAGTTATTTTTGCAACTTTCGTCATGCATGCCTCTATTTTGCAAAATCCAAATCATCTTTTATTAATTAATTACACAAATGAAGTATCTTTCTAATGGCATGCAGTATGAAATCACAGAAAACCTGAATTGAATTTTCACAGAGCTTTTCCGAAATTTTACACCGTTGGTTAGACTTGGGACGCATGCCAATTTTTCCGGAGTGTTTTTGTTTCTAAATCTCCAATTCTTCGAATCGGCATGCAATTTGGAAACACGGAATTCTCCTTTAATTTTCTTCAGTTTTTCGTAACTATTTTGAGCTCTTTCGGCTGCTGCGGATTGCATGCCATCAATTATTAACACTTCAGTTTGTTTGTACTTTCGTATATTAGAACGGCAGGTAATATAATATCGCGGAAAAACACGAAAATTCATCACAACAAGAAAACCGCTCATTATCATAAATAACAATTGCATAATTTATTTCATTAATAGTTTTGGGACTACGATCCAATGATGCCTTTTAGACCAATTGTTGAACCCGATATTGAAGGAGCTTTCCTCACTGAACATCCTCTAACGATGATCAAGTCTGGAAAACTCATGGACATACCGTTAGTAGTGGGATTGACAACTGAAGATGGTGCCATGAAATGTGCAGGTACGCAAAGTATACGTAGGTTTTATACGAGGTGTTTCACTGTGCAGTTCATCAATTCAAATAGAAAACAATTTGATGATTTACTGAAGCACGGGCAGCGTCTGCAAGAAATGAAGAATGCCCAACTCATCAAGTATAACAAATTCGTGGTATATATCCTATAGCAACAGTTCATCAATAATAGATATTTTTCATAATCGAAAGTTTCTTGGAAAGCTTGATCGGCCAACTCATACAGGGCTTTTTACGCAACAGTGACTCTTTTTCCAGTTCAGGCTTGACTGACATTTCATTCAGTTATTGAATGGAATTGTCTTTGATTAATCGATTTCTTTATAGCACGAAAGAAATGATGGACCTCATAATATATGTTGAAGGGTGCCTTCGACTCATCCTGGTTTGTTGAGCAGTAGGTATTCGAAGAAATTGTATTTGAATATCTTCAAAAGGATGTAGATGAGTTCGTGATATAGCCCTCTCCTCACAATAATTACTGTAGAAGTTTACTTACGGACAAGGTTTGGTAAAATGAGTTCTTAGACATATTTGCTCGGACAGAAGATATCACCAGGTTATTAGCTGGCCGACCAAGAAATCTGAGAAGTAAAAGGTTTCAGCTTCAATTCGACACTTATTGACCATATGTCTCCCTTGGAGAGAATCAGACATTTTGTGCTATTTGTTGGTAGAAATTACAGTCAAACTGAAGGTCTTTTGTCAATGACAAATGACAACTTTAATATGTTATGAAATCGAAAGATTCAAGTATTTGATCTGATAGAAATAGAATAATTTTGATACAGTGACACTGATCTTATTCACATTTGATATTTGACGGATTTGTAGCCAATCTCACAGTACAAAATGTGTAACTCTTGAAAATATGCTCAATTTATGCTTCAACCTAAAAGATCGACAGTACCTCTCTTTATTTACTTACTTACATGAAGCCAAACTTCTTTCTCGTGTTACATTCATTAAGTTTCATTAAACAAAGATAATTTTATTCATTAACGATTCAGTTATCAGTCCAGGTTGTGAAGGGCAAAAGTTACCCTAATACGTAAAAAGCAACTATTGCTACAAAACCTCGAATTTCTTGAACTTGAAGAGGTGAGCATTCTTGAAGCTGTCACCCAGAAAATTAAACACAGAAAAGTGTTGTATTTACCGTTATGAAAATACATGCACTAACAAAATAATGATTTCTCCTTCGTGCTCACTAGTTAATGGGTAGAAATATGTAGATTTTCGTTTTTCAAGAATCTTTTATTTTTGGCATAACGCACTAATCCATACAAAATTGCATTTCAGGCTATGAAAACGCCAACCTGTTAGATGAGTTCTGTGAGAGATTTGATGAGATTATTCCAGTATCGCTTTTTTACGACAGAGTGGTGAAGAATACAAAACCAGTTACTAGTCAGGTTAGGAAATTCTATTTTGGTGATAAGCCGCTCAATAAGGAACGCTTGGCCGAAATTGGGAAAGTAAGTATATAGATTTAAGACAAGTCAGATATATTTCATGTGTATAATTGATATGAGATGGGAGAAAACATCTGAAATCTATTTTGAGAAGTTCATCGACTATACAGGTGTGTCCCAAAATTGCTGGGATACAGAACTACCACGAGTAATACAAGTCAAAATAATATAATAGGTCAATTTATTTATATACCAAAATGTACCGTTTATCCATGAGACGAGTTGATATTTTGTCCTCTTTTTATCATCATCATGTATATTCCACAATAGTGCCTTTTTCGTCTTTCATTGTCCTCCACAAAACATGAGGACATTTCTTCTCAATAGTCAGCTCAAGTGGAGTTCTAGAGAAAAAATTCAAGAAATGCAAGACTTTCGAAAAAAAAATCGAATTTTTGTTCCAATTGCCAATTAAAGAGAAATCACGAAAAGGTCCCGAGATGAGGTCCCAGTGTATCATAATATGACTGACTTTTGATCAGAAAAAAATGTCTCGAGTTCTGGCGACATTGGAAATGTAGACCATAGTGTAATGGTTCCACTTTACACCCTGTGTAAGTTTTGTTCTGAAGTCGATGAAATATCACATCTGATATCGAAAACCGCATGAAGATCGGTCAAGATAGAGGTCTTCCATATAGAGTCAAATTATGAGTGGTCCATTTAGTGTGTTGAGAACTGTACATTAATACCAATATTTTTATTCATATAGAAACAATGAATGGGGGAGGAACTCTGCAAATCTAGAAAAATGTTATGGAATAGGTATTGTTGAATAGTAGGTGTTCCAATGGAAATACCAAAGGACAAACCCAAAGTGTAATATTATTGAAAACGTTTTAACCGTATATGTAGAGACCAAGAGTGTTCCACGCATCAGATTGACTCATACGTTTCTTGATTATCATGAGGAAATATCTATTTTATTATATTTATAATATTTTTTACTACAGATATACACTGATGGCTGGATACTTAAAGGGGCAGACGATGCAGTGAGACTACACCACAAGTATTACAAGCAGCCAGTTTACTATTATTTGTTCGGTTACAGGGGTAGTGCCAGCTTCGCTAGAGTATTTGGAGGAGGCGATGGAGATTATGGTAAGTTTCTATATACAGGGTGTTTCGGAAAAACCTGACCCCCTTGCTAGGGTAGGTAAAACATTGCAAAATGAGTTGGGTTTGCTCATTGAAAAAATGTCGTAACGGCATCCGTTTTCAAGAAACAAAGTGTTGAAAAGATATTTTTTTACACATTTTTTACGATTTTGTAGAAACTACTGTTAATATTGTGATAAAATTTTGTATGGATATGGTTCAATACACCAAAATTATGCTCTTGGTAAAACTCGATACTGTGTACCGTTTTCGAAATATTTCGATTTGAAATGCTGAAGCAATAACTCTGATTCTGGTATTAGAATAAGTATTATAAAAAACAATTATCTATTTATCAAGGACAAAGAACATTAACATTATTTTACTGCTGAAGTTATCGATAAAACAAAATCACATCAGAAAATATTTAATTAAATTGACTGAAAATATCATCTATTTAGTTAGAGTACCTAAGTGTTCAAAATGTCCTCCGTTTTCACGAATACACAATTCGATCCTTTTTTCTAAAGAATGCATAAATAGGTAACGGTCTTTTATAGTACCATAGATTATCTATGATAATACTCACCTTTTTAGTGTAAAATTGAATGATGTTCAAGTTCACATTGAATTTGGAGTGAAAAATCTAACTCCAAAAAAGTTATGTTTGGAAGTACTCGGTACGAACCGTGTAACTAGCGCCCTCTATGAGTGTCAGATATAAAAACAAAGTCATGCGATGTGTCAGCTTCCAAAACACATCCATACAAAATTTCATAACAATGTTGCCAGTAGTTTCAACATAATCGTAAAAAATGTGTGATAAGAATATTTTTTCAACACCTTGTATCTTGAAAACGGATGGCGTTTCGACATTTTTTTGCTGAGCAAACCCAACTCACTACCTACCCTAGCAAGAGGGTTAGTTTTTATTTGAAACACTCTGTATAATCACTACAGTTCTATTATCATTTTGAAACTTATTCGCGTGAGTATTTCCACCAGTATATAAATAACAGAAATAGGAGTTTTCAATAGATCAATAATTTCTGGTATGATGACCAAACCTCTGATAATAGTCTTATTTTGTCTTGATTTGATTTCATATTTCTTGCATTTATATCAATTAATTCTTCTGGATTTTCAAATATGCAAGATGGATTGACTCAGAACTGAATGATAATGTATAGGTATTCAGATTGAAACTTCTAATCTCATTCTCGTTTTAACGTTTCGTGAATGCTCAAAAGATCTCCCATTGAATTGTATGTTTTAACTCTATTCAATGCAACTCCAGAAAATTTGGCAGATTTGCTCAATTTGGAAAACATCCTCAAATCACAGGTGAAACAATAACTCATGAAGAAAATATCATGCTTTCATAGTTTTAACAAGTGTCTCTCTCACACGGTTTAGATGACTATACATATAATATAACCGAAAATGTTTTTTTTTTAATTGGCTAGTTTCATGGTGGTTCTCTCCTTCCACATGCATTCATTATTTCATCTTCGTATCTCTGTTTTTCGAAACTCATTGTAATTTGTTCTTTGTGACTAATATAAATATCGAGTGATTTGATTTATATTTCTCTCTAGGTGTGGTTCATGCTGACGATCTTCAGTATTTGTTTCCTGTTGGTGATGAACTATTTCCAGATATCATCCCATCAGCGAACGACAAGGGAATTGTCGAACTCATGACCACTTCCTGGACGAATTTTGCGAGAACCAGGTATGATCTCAGATACTTACTCTATCACATTATAATGCATTGAAAATATAAAAAATTGAAGAAATCAAGTAGGCCACTTCAAGATAATTCGTATGTTCATTATTCAAGAGTTTTTGGGATTTTCTTTCCTCGTTTCTATAAAATAAAAATATTAATAGTATTTCAATATACGTGTAGTGAGGACAAATGAGATTATTTGACCCAAAATGTCACTGCGTTTAAAGAATTTTCCTATGAGAGAGCCTAAAAGAAAAATTCGCTAGCTTGTCCGTGAAAATTTGTATTGAAATGGTTTGGAGAAGAAACATAAAGGTATATAGGTAAAATATCAAATTTTCACTTAGCTATGGACGTATCGAAAACGAATCTGCTTCCGTTTTCAACATGAAAAATGGATATTTGAATAGCAAATTCGTATTTGTCTTGACACTTTTCAGTTCTCAGTCTCAGTTTCGGATGGAACAAAAATTGTTAAACAAACAAAATAGGAATTTATTAAGGATCAAACTGCATTATTTCCAGTACACCATGTTACTACTGAATACGAAGAAAATTTCAATTTTTTCTGTACTCATAGCCGTTACGCCACCTAGCGGTTTTTTCAGAAACCTCAAAATATTTCCCAGCTATTGTTTAGGGTCACTTTTTTTGGGATATTTTGTCTTTCAAATTGGTATCATTATATTTGTTGCTGAGATATGGCAGACGGCCGTTCTTAGTTGTTCGCCCTGTACAAGTCACCTGTATACTAGATATCGTAAAGTTATTCTATACCTATATATAGGCATTTTTGAATTATTGTTTTACCCATTGTCTGCTAAATATGGAGAAAAAATCTAGTGAGCTGGAACTACTGGTCTTCCCTAAAGGTCAGTTGAGTGTATGACTAGAGGATGTTACCGTATTAGACGAAAAGATCTTCACTTTTTTCTAGAAAATTTTCGAAATTTGTGGTTATGTAAGTTGTCAGTGTCAAGAGCTGTCGTGCCATCGTGACTTGTTTTGTATTTTTTTCCTAAAATATCATTCTTTTTCAATTCTCATTGTTCTAATATTCCTTCCGTTTATGGATATAGTTGATAGTTTATGCTGTTAATAATTTGTAACAAACTCTGTCTCCTCTTATTGTGTCTACCAGAAAGTGTGAAACCGTCTCCATTCATGGATTTCCAAGTGATATTCCTTTGCAACATAAGTGGATACATTCTATATTGAGTGTTACAGGATCATTACAAGTAAGAAAATCAGAGCCCTGATCAAAAGCTAATAATCGATACTACTACTACTACCGCCACCACTGAGGGAGGCTCAACTCATTTACGATTTTCAAGGTTATGTCGGTTTGACAGGAAAACAATTGAAATAAGTGTTTCCTCGAGTTGACCGTATGGCGGTACTACTGTATCGACCACAGAACCCTGTAGGTGATTTTTCTTGTTTGAGCAGACCAGATACACCAGCTCACTAGCTTTTTCCTCCATATTTAGCAGACAATGGTTTTACCAAAGTATCCCATCAGAGACCATATATACCGCGTGTGCCATTTTTCGAGCTACATGATGTATGATTTATGTGAATTATCGTATTATTATATCGTCTTAGGGACCCTTCACCAGAGGTGAATGATGTCATCAAGCAACGGTGGAGACCTTATTCCACCGAAGATGGAGAATATTACTTCATTCATGCTAATTCCTCTGGAGTCAGGTCTGGTTTGTACACAGATAGAATGAAGTTCTGGAGGAAGGTGCTGTACGATCCACTAGCAGAAAATTCGAAAGATGAATTGTAGATGGTGGTCTGAAGGAACATTATGAAGGGTTTATACAGGACGAAGAGATAGAGGCCCATTTTTATATATTTTTGTTGTGAATAAGCAGAAGAACTTTTGAGTGTGCAGTACTAAGCTGATGTGACTGTTGATCTGTGACTCTGATGAGTTTATTTTATTCTCTCGTACCTACCAATATCATGTGCTCACAAAACTTTCCAACAAGCTGAATTTTTTCAATTGTTAATATCTTATAGAAATTTTGTCGAAAATTGAATGAATGTTAAATTTACAGATCTGATTCCGAATTCAATTAGTTGGATACATGCTAATATAAATTAGTCCATTGATGAGAAGCATTTAACTTGGGTGGTATATGGGTAACAGGATAACGCGTCACAAGTGAACATCGCATGGGTATTATTGTATGGTTGTGTAAAATACCTATAATAGTCAAAATTACTGAATAATATACAATAAGAATTCGTTTGTTAGTTATTTTTTGTAGTTAGCCCCACTGTATAATCTCTGCTGAATACCACATCCCTATTATACATGGTGTTTCAGGAATATCCGTGACGTTGAAATAAAAAATAGTTCCTCATAGCACTGAAAGTATAGTAGGTATATTTCTTTTGGAACTATATCAAAGGTTCCTTGTAAATATATATATCTACCTTTGGTCTTTTAACTCAACAAAAAAATACAAGTGTGAACAAATAAAAATGTTTCTATTCGTCATCATCAGATATCATAAAGCCTCAATAGTGGCACTTTTGAAAAATGTTTGCAAAAGAAGAATTTAGATATACTTATCCAAAAAATATAGAATTTTCACCAAACTTTGAGCGTTTCAGGAATGAATCTGCTCCTGAATTGTAAAATAAATGAGAACTATACCTATCCCTTTGGGAAACCCGGCATTGAGGTTATTTTCAAATATACGTTCTTCACAATATTGAATATAATATTTTGATATATCTAGTGATGTAGTTCACTCTATGATAAATTTCTGCAGAATTAATGTTGAAGAATGTCTCCTTATCATTCCTTCATTTATATGTTCAGTAGGGGAGAGATCCTGCTATATATTTCTCTCGTCAGGCAATTCCCTTTAGTGCTAATCTTTCATATAGGTATTTCACTTGCTGAAATTAACTTGTCATCCTGAATTATTTGAATTATACATTATTTCCATCAACTTCCCATTGTATGGTACATTGGTTAATGTCATACTCGATGTATTCCAGTAATCCCAGTTTAAAGCGTTACAGCGCATATGCATCTTGAATAAGTTGAATTATACAGATTGTTTCCAAAATTGGATGCCTCAAAAAACAGTTTAATAGAAGATAAAAAACTAGGTACCTAGATGTAGCTGAGTAGGTACTTTTCAATATCACCTTTAAGGTATAAAGGTATAGGTCTCGGTGAAAATAGATATAGGTACCTATAATCTTTAATCTCGATAACAATAATAAAAATGTTTTGTAGAACCTATGTAAGCATACTTAATACTTATATCACAATCACATAAATCTGAATTCAAATCAAATTTTTAAATTCAAAGAAAACGCATGCGTTTATTCGGTGTTGGCCAAGGATCCAGCATTACATGCATCTTACGCTCAACGTTGCCATATTATATGCTGAGGAGAGAGATCAACAGTTTTTGAACAGATTTGTGAGATTCGAAAATATACCATTCAAGTTATAGGTATAATGATAATATTTGAGATTATTATCATTATTATTATTGGGAAAATGAAACAATCATCAATATGATGCATATTCGCGATTAACTCGACCACCGCTCGGCTAACTTGGCACAAAATATAATAATCAAATCAAAAAATCAGAATAACCTGATAACTTCCAATTTATTGAGAAAAAACCGAAACGCAAAATTATTATTATTCTTCTATGCATTCATTCATGAAGTCATTTTCTTAAAATGTTGTTTCAATGTTTATATAATTTCACCTTATTTTTAGAGTGAGTATAGTGTAGGTAGATATATGAGTCACCTAATGATTGTATATTTCATATAGCCACAAAAAATTTCAGCCAACCTGCTATGACTGAAATCGAAAATCCAGGACATTTCAGGATCGAGGAAGAATGATGTCAGTGGGAATAAAATGTAACCAACCAGTTCAAATATCGAACTGGTTCATTTCAACTTCAGGTCAAGCTTTAGGTAGATATTATGCAGGGTGCAGGAGCAGGGTCGCAGGGTTTTATTCGAATATGTGGCCAAACTTCAAGGTCAGAGGGAAACGACTGAAACGAGGCTAACGAGAGTCAACTCAATCGCCAATTGATGCTACAGTCCTATTTCGAGTTTGCTAAATACCTATATAGTCACTGTTTGTGATTTCTCATTGTATGTGTTTGGCAGTGGTAGTCAAACCTGGTAGTTAATTTGTGATCCATCGTATCCAGTTACCTAGTTTCGAGGAGCCAAGAAGGGTCATCAGGATTCACAAAGTATTTAATCAAGAATGATTCCACATCCGAAGGAAATGTCAATGATATTGGTGAACGGTAATTGCCTACTGATTCCTACTGTTTGTAAAATAATAATAAGTAGTACCTAATGGATTTGTCTGCTTTTACTGTATATGTATCTTTATTTCTACACCATATCTACTTTCCTCGAAGAGTTTATAAAACTATACAAATTAAAAACCATTTTGGAACTTGTCCAGGACAGTTTTGTTGAAACTTGCCCAGAACGGTTGTCTTGGAATGTGCCTGGCATGAAGTTTTTGAAACTTTCCATCAAACTCCACTGAGGTAGGACATTTACATTATCTGGTACGTTTCTGAAACTTCAGAGAGACTTAAGTGGAAAGGTTTCAGATATCCCTATATCATTGAAACTTTCCTGACACTGAAATATGTTTTGTGGGTATACTGGCCATGGCCAGGGCTAACACCGTCTCAAATGGGCGTTATTTCATTTCATTATCTTGAAGGAGGTACTTACTAACCCAAACTAGTTCACTGACATTATAAGCAGTTTTCTCCTCAAATTCAACTTTTGTCGTCTCAAAGTTTTGAAAATTAGTATTTATCCAATATACCATTAATTTTCACTACATTTTCTTATTTGTGAGGTCGTCCATAGCCCATAATATACCTACCACCCAATACCAATATCCAATCTTGGTAATGACAGTATTGTCAATATTTTCGGTAAGTGCATGGTATATGTATAACATTTATAATGATACTGACTCACTCCTCAATCGAATGAAGAATGAAAGTGGCGTGTTATTCCCTATTTTCTTATTTTGTGAATTCTTTTTATATTTCCCTATAAATAGTTTTGGACTCCAAAGTTTGGCAACCGCGTACGCCGCTCGATGCAAGTCAGATGCTCGACGTTCATATGTTCAATGTCTGCCGTCCGCCTCCACTTCAGTTCGGTGTGATATTTGGTGCGTGCGGACTGGGGTTTAACTCCCATGTAGCTTTTTCACTTTTATACGATTATTTTTTGATAATTTTCGATAACTTCTAGTGCTTTTACTATGTACTCCTTGCAGGGATCGAACAGTTTCGTCAAGGTGAGTGTCTTTCCTTGGTATTTAGTCGTGATTAGATATTTTATCGGATTATAACAGTTTTTCAGGTTATGTTGCGAATGTTTTTGTAGTGTTTTTTATCTCCTTATCAGTAGAAAAATGGATATTTTTTATTGATTCGACGATTCTCTTTGTTTATTCTTCATCATCTCACTGTAATGGATACCTTCTTATCATGTGGAACAATTGAAGAAGAAAATAATCGAGAAAAAAGTACAATTTCAAAGTAATTTCAAACAAAAAATGTTCATATTGCAAAAAAGGACGACCCTAAAATATCTCGAAAACTGAAAGAGCTGTTGAAAAATCTTGAAATTTTAACACGTTTTTTTTACGTTTTCAGACATAGGTAGGTATGCCTATGAAATATTCATATTGAGTTTTGAAACACCCTGTATATTTCCAGGGGCCGGTCCGCGAGTGTTGTCGACTTTTTACAGATTGTTTTTTAGCACTTTCCCTCCAGGATTAGTTCATTCCGAGGTTCCTTCAGTGGAATCAATCCTCGAATCAATCACAACAGTTACACGTACCTAATGAAAATGCGCCGCAGGCGAAACCTTTTTGTCGGTTCAAGGTCAAATCCGGTCAAATCCCATCAGTCAGAATGTACAAAACAAGTACTTAAATAAAATGGAATGTCCCTTGATAGAAGCTGCGTGATTTGTCAAAAAGCATAGCCAGAATAAGGCTAGATCTCGGGCTAGATGCATATACATCGGCATAGATCCATTCATCATCATATTGCAAAAACCATAAATAATTGTGATGAAGCTGACTTCTATTCATGAACAATGATTATGGAATTACTCTACAGTCTCATTCATAAAGTTGCGGCACCATATGGGAAAAACCGGGGGAAACATTTTTAATGATAATTTATTTTGCAATTCGACTTGGGCGTTAAGTTTTGCCGAGAATTTGCTTCAAAAAGAATGGAAAATCATTTGTTAGAATCTCAAAAAAGGTTATAAAGAAGAGTTGTTTCTATTCCAATTTTACACATAATATGTCTAGAATTTGAACGTTCCATTGCAACTTTTCATTCTTGATATTTTTTGATTTCTTCTAACTGTAACTTCGATAAAACTGTCCTGAACTCCGACTGAACTCTGGTTAGATACGCAAAGAAGTTTGATTATATTTTAAAACAAGTTGATGACAGATTGACAGCTCAAAGAAGAGACGTCGGTTTGAAAATCTAATAACACCATCTTGTAGAACAGTCACCCTGTATGTATGTATGTATGTATATATTCGAATTCAGAATGAGAATAAGTATTGTAAGATGAACGAAAAAAAAACAACATTGGGGTATACAATTCGAAAACCAATGGGATGGCCAATGGGCTTATATCACAAAAAATTTTTATTTCATAATTCTATAGAACTCACCCAAACTAGCTCACCACCGCAAACCGTTTCTTG